AGAGCGTTTTACTCCACACCCACAGAATGTTTTCCACAAATGGTAGGACAAATAGGGAGAGATACATATTGCCTGTCAGCCAATTAAAGAGTAATGTGCTTTTGGTATAGTAAACTACAAAGTAAAATGACTTCTGTGATTGACGACTCTGGAGTGGACCATCTGAGGCATTTTTGATTTTAAAAACTCTGCAGAACAGTTCGTGGGTGTTCAACATTAGTGTCCATCAGAATGACTTGGGTGTTCAAATGATTGATGTTTGTGCCCCAGCCCATGCTCTAGTGAGAGGAAATCTAAGAAAAAACTAAGGAATTCAGAGAAGCACTGCTCCACTTCTCGAGAAAGGGGTCAGGCTTCTGAAGACATTGAAAACCTTCCTCCCCCTACTGTATTTCTGAAAAATAACCTAGAAAGTCAAATTTCTACCCAAAGAGCTACAATATCTGATCCCTGCGTTTACTGTTTCACTGTATTTACAAATGCAGAAGTACAACAGACCCAAATATCTACATTATGTTCCCTTAGCCATCTCAGTTAGAGAATTGCATCATTTCGAGGATTTCTGAGATGCTTCTTTCAGCAATAGCAGAGGACATTCTATATTCTTTAAATTTCTAACTGCTTTAACTAATCAAAGGAGCGTCCTGGGACCACAGATCCGCAGAAGTGAGTTGCTTGGTCAAGCTGACAAAATCGAGATGCCTGGTTCTCAGGCTTGCCACTGTAATCCTGTGAAAACTAGTGTCTTAAGTTCCTCACCTATTCAATGGAGCTGATCATCTCAGCCCTAATGATACTAAGAGACTGACCAATAATGGAAAATGCCACAAGAAAAAATAATGGTGTGGTAAAGCCTCCTTGCTCTATAAGTGCCAGTAACCTTATCATGCCTCCACAGACAGGGATGAAAGCTGACATTTATTCCGCTCCTTCTAAAGACCAGTGGCAGACACTTGTACAAAGTATATTAAAAGTGAAAATCATCACTTCCACACAGTTACTTCATGTCCTTGCCCTCTTCCCTAAACAAATCCATTCTATAAATATGCTTTAAAAATACTCACATTTTCATTCATTGTTGTGGCTTTGGCTGCAGAACTGCTTTTCCTGTTTGTAGAATAAAAGAAACAACATTTATTACCTGATCACTTCCATTTCTGAAGTACATACCCGTTCTCTTAATGTTACCTCTACATTTTCTCAACAGGAAGATGAACCTTTATCACAGCCAGATGCAATAAAAAGCCAGAAAGCCCAACTGAATGTCTTACATTTATAGACAATATTCACAGAGAAAGCCATGCAACAAAATATTCCCTTTGTATTTAGTTGCTGCCTCGGGCTAATATACTACAGATTTTTGTGGAATGAGCAAATCAGAGACTTTCTAACTTCTAATGTGTCGATTTAGTAACATTTAACATTTCGCTTGAGATTATAGTCTCAAATTTCCCTTTTTCCATGGAAAGAAAGATTTATGTGGTGACTATGGTTTTGAGGTGAACTGGGTCCCCCCCCCCCCATATCACATGTTGAGGTCCCAACCCCCAGGACCTCAGTATGTGACCATATTTGAAGAGGGGGGTCTTTAAAGAGGTATTACATTAAGATGGGGTGACCAGGGTGGCCCCAATCCAATATGACTGGTGTCCTCACGAGAAGAGGAAATTCTGTCACACACAAACAGGGAAGAGGAAGTGCAGACCCAGGGAGAAGGCCACCTGTCAGCCAAGGAGCAAAGCCTGGGCAGGTCCCTCCCTCCCTCACAGCCCTCAAAAGGAGCCAGTTCTGCTAATGCCTCGCTCCTGGACTTGCAGTCTCTAGAACTGCGGGAAAACACACTTCTGTGGTTTCAGCCACCTGGTACATGGCACTTTGTTATGGCAGCCCTAGAAAACACATGCAGCGTCCAGTCCATCAGTGAACAAATTCTGAGGGCCGTGGACTAGACCAGTGGGAGACGTGTGTAGGAATGAGGTCGTGCTCTGCACACTGCTTCCTGGGTTAGTAGAGACACTGTGACTGAAGCAAAGACTAACCCCCGCCCCACAGCAATGCCAGCCTTTTCCCGTGTGTGAGATGGTGCCTCTCCTCTGCTCAACACCCTCCAATGACTCTCCATCTTACTCACTCAAAGCGGAAATCCTCCCAGATGCCTTGGGCGGCATGGGGTGGCTATACCATCAGGCTCACCCTCCTTTCTGACCCCCCCCCCCTTGCCGCCGCTAGTCCTGAGAACTTGGATCTCGTGCTGGACTTGGACTGAGATTACAAGGCCCAGAGACTGGCAGCGAGCAGCAAGTCAGGCAACAGGAAATCAATGGCAGCTAAGCTTTCAAAAGATTAAGGAGATGACCAAGTACCTGAAGTGATGACAGCCGAGAGAGAAGGGACGCCCACAGACTCAGAGTTGGGTCTGCCACACAAGCAGGACGGTCCCAACTCAAATGCACATAAACTGGGGGACTTTGATGATGCATCCATGAGCCCTAAATCTCTGACTCTAGTCAAGATGCTTCCCCAAACTCCAGATTCGTATATTCAGCTATTTACTGATTCTCTCTAGTACTTGGGAGTCCAATCGGCATCGCAGACTGTGAAATTCCCAAACACGCCAGACCTCTCCACCTACCGCCACTGAAACTTTCAAACTGCTCCTCCTGAAATCTTGTATCCTTAGCAAACGCTGACTCCATCCTTCTCATGGCCTTGAGCCATCCCTGACTTCTCTGTTTCTTATAGCCCACACTCAGTCCATTGTTAAAAATGGTTCCAGAATCCTACCACTTTGCAGCATGTCCCATACCACTGTTTGGACCCCGCTGCTGGTTTGTCTAGATTGCCGCGTCATCTCTTCAGTGTCTCCCTACCTCCCCACCCTCGATCGCCCTATAGTTTATTCTCAATAGAGCAGCCAGTGTGAGATTTTAGGATTAAGGCGATGCCACTCCTCTGCCCATCTTGCTCAGAACCAAAGCCGAACTTCTCACAACTGCCCAGAAAGGGCTCCATATAATCCGGCCCCCACTTCTCTTGGTGTTCACACCTCTTCTGTTGTTCTCACTCTGTTCCTGTGACACCGGCTCCCTGGATGTTTCTGATATTCCAGGCATCCTGACCTCGAGATCTTTCCGTGTGTTCTCTCCACTCACCTTGAACACTCTTCCCCTGGATGTCTGCATGGCTTGCTCCCTCGGCTCCTGCAGGTCTTTTACAAATGTCACCATGTCAGTGAGGCGTTCTCTAACCATGACCATGTACAAGGACGATCTCCACTCCTACCCCATGATTCTCTCTCCTCTTGCCTGCTTTGTTTTCCTCCAGAATTCTTATTACAGTCTGACGCAATTGTTTCCTTTCTGCCTGTCTCTCCCAGAATGTAAGCTCCACAGAGCAGAGGGGCTTTTGACCTGTTTCATTCAGGGCCCGGGGACAGTGTTGGGCACAGAATCGGTGCTTACTTAATTAAATGTAAAAATGACTGTCGAGTCAAATTTTACTTGTAAGATTTTAATTTAGCAAATTACAGCAAATACATTCTTGAAACTAGTTCTATGGAAATGCCTACGAAGTCAAATTAATGAATGTGTTTCTTCTGGAGATAATTAAGCATCATCGACAAGTAGGCACGAGGCCTGAAGTAGGATGTATCTCTTCATGAACTTGAGTCACAGTTACTTCCCACAGGATTAAAAACCTTCACAAATAATTCAACTTCCCACTTTTGACTTTCAACAGATGATTAATAGAAAATTAGTTGATATGGAAGAAAAGCATGCATTTTAAGAAAGTATACTTACTGGAAGGAGGTTTCTTCTACAAAAGAATAAGTATATATCATTAATACAAGAGTTCACATGGCATGATACAAATTCATATAAAAATGAGTTTAAGCTTAATTTCTTTTTCTCAGTCTTAATTCTCACTTCCCAACATCTGGACCTTCTAACTCAAGGGTCGGTAAACTTTTCCTGTAAAGGGCCACATGGCAAAATTTTAGGCTTTGCGGGCCAAGAGGTGAAATTAAGGGTATTTTGTAGGTAATTTTATAACAAGAGAAAATAAACTTCCAAAACTTTTAGCAATAAAATTTTAACTAGTATAATAAAGTCTTGTGTTGGCTAAACAGAAACAACAGTTCTTTTGGGGAAGATAATATTTCTCTTCATCGGGTTTCAAAGTTAGTGTTCCTATGATCAAAGAGATTGTTAATGTTCACCTATGAAAACCACTCTTATCTCACGGGCCATAAAAACACAGGTGGTGGACCATATTTGGTCCACAGATTGTCGTTTGCCAACCCCTGTTCAAAATGCAAGTTCTAGAAAATGATTCTCTTGGGTTTTCTGCCACATGAAAATGGGAGTGGCATTCTTAGCTAATGAACTGCTAATACCCATATCACGTCTTTAATTCAGTATTTTGAGAAAAAAATTGTTTACCAAATCTTCACAAAATACTTATATATATATTCTTTGCAAGTAGAGATAAAGATGGTAAGAATTTTGAGCCATCTGTCATCTGTACTTTCACTGGTGACCAGCAGAGGGACTCACCAACTCCATTCATAAAATTACACTGGACTAGATTGTAGAACCATACAAATAAATGAACAAGGATTATTCATTCACAGAGCAGTTCTTAATTATGAAGGATATCCTTGAAACCATGTTCATGGGCACATTTTTTGCTAATATCTACTGATAGGTATTATTAGAAACTCCCTTTAAATTTGTTTATTTTGGTGTAAAATGTTTTTTTAAACCTAAACTCCAAAATTTAATGTTCACTCTGAAATGGTAGATCTAACACTAATCTGTGCTGTATTAACACATATTATTTCATTAAAAATTCTACCTTATACACTAACCCCAGTGGACGTTATGGAGTTCTACAGTTTTTGAGGTCTCAGATCATTTTAAAGACCGAGGAGAAAGGAAATGCATTAAAAGAATAAAAAAGGTTATTTTTTAATCTCACACATTTACATCCTGTCACCAAATGGGGGTTAGAATCACATGATGGCTAAACGTGAAGAACTACAAACTTTGTTCAGAAGCAACTGCAGCACAACAGGTTTCCAGCTTTTACTGAACGGTTCTTTCCAGTTGTGCTGAATTGGACATTGGACATTCCACTATTCTCAACTGATAAAACAGTTCACAGATTTACTTCAATGAAATCTCTCATCATATAAGTAGAAATCAATTTACCACTTGAGATACACGATTCCTAACTTGAAAGGATCTTCAACACATGGAAATGTCCTGTACACATGCGTCTATGCTGACTGTCTCTCGGTGTCCCGGGCATCTCCGCACTGGGCCATTCCACGGTGTCCCCTGGAATGCCGGGCGGAGGCAGCTCTCTGCCTTTCCTCCCTCCGTCTGCCCAGGTGCTGCATGACTCACCTGCCTGTCATCTTGGGCATTTTCTACTACAGAAAAAGCAATGAAAAAATATTCTCCCCAGTTTGCTAGAGCTTCTTAAGAGACACAGTGTCTCATTTAACAAAAAAACCAAAAACAACCCCCCCTCCATATTTACAGGAATTTGTCTAGCAGAGGGTGAAATTCACTTACTTGAGAAGTAGCCTTTCCTCTGGGCGTAGCACACGCCAAGGCCACAAACAGAAATCACCAAGGCCACAATTACTACCGCGGCTATGATGCCGCTTATGTTGAGATCATCTGGAACGCAAAATAAACCATGCGTGAATTGATGTCAAAGAGATGGGCAGATGGAGACATTCAACTGGAGAAGGCCAAAAAAGCTCCTGTTTGCAGCCATGCCACAAGCGTGGGTAACTGCATGCTTCCAGAGTCTGTTCAGCCAACACACTTCTAGGACATGATACAAAATTGAATGAAAATATAAATGCAACTCTGTTTGGCAAGACTTTTCAATTTTTTAAAGTTCTATGGTCCAGAAATAACACGTGTGGTATTCTCTTGCATTCATTTGGAAATGCAATCATTTATCAGATTAAATACCAGACTGGAAGCAATTTTCGAAATTCAGGGAGCTCAAGTATTCTACTACCACCCTCCCCTCACCCCAAATTTTACTTAAAATTCTTCCACATCATCATCTGTGTCAATTTCACAAATTATGGAAAATTCATTCAGCCCTGAAGAAAATGCATGACAATGTTTTCTATAAAATGAAGTGTCAGAGACATACTTGGATTTATATGGGCTTGTGTGGGCACGTGTACGTATGTACACACCATTATGTATATGCCATTAAATTGTCATTCCATTAAATTTAAAATGAATTCAATTCCTTCAAAGCTTCTTCCTGTTGTCATTAAGTAATCTCTCCTCTAACCTAATACAACCGTAGTTTTTGGACCCAAGTTTGAAATCATTACCATATTACCAACTTGTGAGGTTTTTTTTTTTCAGATACTGATTCTGTTGCCCAAGAATTAGATTATTAACATCCCAAAGTTAATATTTTCCCAATTTTGAACTGCATCAAAAATCCCCTCGAGTCACCAATAAATGAGCACGAGTCTGTCGGGGAAAGAACTCTGTAACAAGTTATTAGATCCTGCTATTCAATAACACGATTTAGTACCACACTCTGGGTACAGCCTCCAAATACATGTGACTCCAGGTAGCACTTGAGTTGGACCATATTCCTCCATCTTGTCTGCGAGGATGTCCCAGGCCATACTCTTCTGTCACTCAGACACTCCCTATGTTCCCATCAGCATGTAGGTTATCTGTGGTTTTTGACGGGGCAATTCCTCCAAGGAGTCTCACGAAAAAGCAAGTACTAATTAGGGCATTACCAAATTATTTGGTAATATTCAAAAGTATTAGGGATGACGTTTCTGAACAGTAATTTTAGATATTTTAAAGCAGTGCTTATTTTGGGAAAGATTTTTTAAAATATTATATGAGTGAGTCTGCTTGTTGTAAAAGCATCCTGTTTCCCAGTTTTTTCCTCCTCCCAAATATGTTACTAATTTTCCCAGATACCACTGAAATATCAACGGACTTTTTAAAGGAAACATGACACATCTTTTGAAAGACTGAGTAGTTTGACCAGAGTAGAAAACGTGAATTACTGCTTGGTATAAACTCAGTTCATATTTACTTGAGTATTGGAAGGTCACTGAACTCTAGCTATTGATTTACTTGAAAAAACATAGAAAAGAGAGAAAATTCACAAATACAATGTAAAGAAAATGAAATTAATAACTAAATGATACTCCTGAAAACCAAACTGTGTCTACTATATTCTTTGTAGTGGTCAGTGAAATTTTACATTTATGAAGGGTTCAACCTAAGGGCTATTACTTGTCAAAAAAAAGAAAAAAAAAACCCTCTTATAATTTGTCAATGAACTTGATATCTATGAAGGATTCAAGCCAAAGGAAAATCCTGACAAAAAGCAAAAAAACTGTCTTACCCTATCAGTGCTAAGTCATGGTATAAATTTTCTTTTCTTTTCTTTAATGAAATGGAAGCGATAAGGCTCGTAAGTTAGAGATAAGTTGTTTTCAGCCAATTTGCCATGTACTGTGAGATACTGAGCAAGCCATACAACCATCTTATGCTTCACTGAAGAGAAAATATAACATGGCATATGGAAACATTTTGTGTTCTTTGTTTAAGAAACAAGCCACTATAGAAGGAAGGCACCTTCCCCTAAATAAAAGGAAAGGGACCAGTTGCTGGAGGGTGGGTGGGAGGGTCCTCCGGAGACCACCAGCAAATCCATCTTCTACTTCCTTTCTCTACTTCAAAACCAACTTCTTTAGAACCGTTAACAGATTCTGCTGTTGGTTACAAGTTATTAATGATAATTCAAAAAGAAAACTGAACATGAGATTTCACGCATTTGTGTGCATTTCAAATTATATTAATTCCAAACCAAGGGTGTCAGATACTTAGGAGCAATGGGTGAGCATTGCACAAACTACTTTTAACCTTTAAACTGACTGATAATCAGAGAGAGTAGATATGTGGGAATCATGATCAAATTAGAGCGGTACGACTAGGAAAACACAAACTATTAAATTTTCATTTACTGCATGCTGGGAAAATGAACTAGAATGTCCAAACCATAACATCACAGAATTACTTCTTAAGATGCGGTTAAATTAGGCATTAAAATTAAACATGGCCATTTAAAGAAAAAACAAATAGTAATCATACAGGCGTTACAAGGTGACAGTAAAAACCATGAGGACAGTATGTGAGTGCAGTTAGGAAAACACTGGACTGTGCTCATTTTTATAACGGGTTCTAATGAGTTTTCATAATGATCATTCCACAGCAGCACTGAGAGCGTTTCTAGTAATTTAAGCAAATGCTTATGTTTGACCATCAATGTCAACACCTGGATGAATGTGGTGGATAATACGTACCCCTGAATCTAAAAACACCTGAAATTTAAACTTACTATCGAATATCTTATACTTTAGGATATCCTGAAGTCTAATAAGATTATCATTTTCTTTAAAAAATAATGCTGAGTGTAACTGTATGTAGACAATACACCTTACTGCACACATATCTGCACAGCTCTAAGCACAGGGGAAAAGTGGATTTCTGACTCCACCACACCCTGAATCAAAGGGGAACCCTCAGTCTTGCCCTTCAGGGTGCAGCCCTCCCAAGTGACCTCTACCCCTTGGGTACCATCTCAGCTCTCCCCTCTCTGTTATGGAACCATTTTCAAAACACATGGCTTTAAAACGAAGTTATTAAAAATAAAATGAAAAAATAATATGATTGTTCTGAAACATAATCTGAAAAGATTCTCGAGCACTTATTTTATTGGACTCCAAGAACCTTATTTTGCATAACGTAATGTATGGCAGCTAACTTTACAGTGACTTAGATCTGTAATCTGTATTCAACATGCCTTTTCTGAGAAGCTACTTTGCAATAATTGTAGGCATAGTATTTCAGAAGATTGACAAAAGTATCAACAACCTGATAACAAGTGAAAACATCACTTACACGGTGCTCATAATACACTGGTGCTATTCTAACACTTCCAGCTATTATTTCCATCTTCATAACGACTCTGTGAGGACGGTATATTACTACTTCCATTTTGGGGAGACTGAGGCACAGAGGTTAAATAATTTGCCCAAAAGTATGCAGCAAGTACGTGGCAGAGCTGGAATTTGAACCCCCATACAGAGTCCTTGACCTTGAGTAACTTACAAGGCTCAGCCTTTGTCTGAAAAAGGCTTGCTCTGATGGGCATAGTGTCAAAACAATTATCTGAAAGATTTGAAAATTTGTAAAGTGCCCTGGCTGGTGTGGCTCAGTGGACTGAGTGCCAGCCTGCGAACCAAAGGGTCACCAGTTCAGTCAGGACACATGCCTGGGTTGCAGGCCAGGTTCCCCATTAGTGGGCGAAAGAGGCAACCACACATTGATGTTTCCCTTTCTTCCTCCCTCCCTTCCTCTCTAAAAAGAAATAAAATCTTTAAAAAAAAATAGTAAAGTGTAATGCTAAAAATTCTTGGCTTGTTTGGGACATGGGTAAAAAACAGCATCTTTGCTGCTTGCAACACATTCCATCTAGCTCGATTTAAACATTTCCTCCCGTTTATGCTACCGTCACTCGGCCTTTTCCCAGCCCAACTTCCACCCCCACCAACGTGCACCCAGCCGCAAGCCGCTTGCTCACGCTTACCTACTTGCATTCGTTTCCCAGGGCACCTGCGAGATCCGACAGAATTGCGGGCTTCGCAGGAGTACTCTCCGCTGTCCAGTTTTGAAACGGTGTTAAATTGCTGGGATTTTGTGGAAGAAAAAAATAAGTGTATTTTTTAGCAATAGAACTGTAAGAAGACTCCTAAAATAACCATGTCCTATGAATTTTTGTGTTAAGTTGGTCTTTTCTTTTCAATGACTTAAGCCTTCATATTTTTTAGTATGAATTCAAAAATCTTACACACCTTCAAAGAGTGAATATAGCCAGGTCTCCTGCTTGATAGAGAAAGACTTATGGAGAAATGTCTTTATTGGGTGTGACAGTGAGAAATAGCTCAGTTACAAAGGCAGTGAGCATTTTTTCAAAGTTATAGTACCTTGTAGTATTAAGTATTCTAGGTATTTCTAATTCTCCAAGGAAATACCATTTGTAAGTGAAGGACTTCTTGCCCTAAAAGGGCTGATACACTTTCCAAAGTCACAAGTGATGTTAGTGCAGCAGGAAACACTAACACTTCCTCTAAAGCCATAGTTATCATGAGCAATAATGTGGAGTCTAGGAAAATCATAGTCGATAGAGTTCACAGGATCATAAATGCTGTCGGTTGTAGGATTTTTGAAAATCCTGAGGACATAAAGTCCACCCCTTGCTTCTTCCACTCCCTGCTAAAGATAAGACTTTGATATAATAGGTTTCATTCTTGGTATTAGTAATTTTATTTCCCTGGGGAATTTCACGAAGGAAGGAAGGAAGGAGACAGAGAGGGAGGCAGAAATATAGGAAAGGACAGAAAAGAAGACTGAAAGGAAGGTAGGAAGTCAGGCCAACAGATTAAAAGGAAGATAGGAAGGAGACAATGCAGGAGGCAGAAAGGAAGAGAGAGAGGGAGGAAGGGAGGGAAGAAAAAGGAAGGGAGGGAGGGAGGCAGGGAGGGGAGGGAGGGGGAGGGGAGGGAGGGAGGAGGGAGGGAGGGGAGGGAGGGAGGGGATGAATGCAGTGGGTCCTGCACTTGGTAAAGGACTCTGCCAGGACCAGTGCAGAGGGTCACAGGGGGCTGGATCTTACTTTCAGTGCCCTGGTGCCACACCCTCACAACCACAGCGGTCCCTGCCGATGGCACCCACGAGGGCCACAAGGCTCTAAGGAGCACCCTCATTGACTTTGATCTTCATGCAATAGTATGTTCCTAAAAATAGCCTAGGTTTTTCTTTACTCTTTCCTCTCTCCACTACCCACCTACTTCTTGCTGTACACTTCAGCATGCCGAGATGAAAGCTTTCCCTAGTTTATTTTAACTCTACAGAACCCTCTCTCTCCCCACTGCGCAAGCCAGAATACTTGTAAAATATTCACCATGAGCTCAAGGTGAAGGTTATGTAGCAACAATCAGTGAAATAAAGACAAGGATCTTCCAGCACATTGTAACTGGTAACCAAAAGGAAGTCACTGTCCTCCCCCGACTGGCGTCGGGGTCACTCATTTCTCAGAAAACAACCCAGTCCCACCCTTAACCCCACAAGACATTTCAAGTATTGAGGCTACTGAGGAAAGTGAATCTATGTCATCTCAGACTTGCTTTGGGGCTTTTATCACCTGCTTTGAGAAAAAATAAATTTGAAAAGTAAATATAGCAAAGTGTGACGGCAGGTTTTCTGCCCAGTTCCTCAGTGTGAAGTCACTGGGACCTGCTGACTGAGCGCACAGATGCCCAGAGGGCAGGGCGGGGCCTTGCTCTGGGAGTCCGTGCATCACTGATAGGCTTTGTGATTTAGCCATTTGACCACTATTCTGTCATTTTCCAGAAGATCTAGATTTTAAATGTCATCATGCACTTGTAGACTGAAAGCATATAAGGAAATGTACTCTCCTTGTAAAATTCATCAAAATTATTATTACCGTGCCTTTAAGATTTTTTAGATAGTGGTTGTGGTAGTGATTCTGCATTATTGGAAATCAGACATTTTTTAAGCTTATATGTTATATTTCTTTGAGTAAACAAAAGTATCAAGCTTAATGACCTTTATTTTTACGTCCATCTCTACCTGGAAAAGTCAGAGACAAAGAAAAAATACTTTTATTTTTAAATGTCATTAACTTTAAAGAGAGTATTTGTAGGTTTCTATCAGTATTCCTAGAAAGGCTTTTCAATCAATCAGAAAATCTAGGCAAAATCTAAAGTCACAGATTCTTAAGTCACTGAGTCAGTTGTTGACGATCTAGTTACGGAAGAATTTAAGGACAAAGCCATCCTGTCATAGATGGGCAACAGTCACTACCCCTACATGGCTGGCACCCGGGTAAGGGCACCCCCCGCCCCTGGGAGGAGAGTTTGTGCGTTTCCCTGACATTGTAAATATGGGGCTGCACTGACCACCCTTCCAGGCCAGGGAGGCAGCCGTGGTGAGCTGTGGTCCTTCCACCGCCTGCAGCAGCCCTCTCCCCCACTTCTCTGCACCCCACTTTCCTGCTGCCCTCGCCTCTCTCCACGTAACAAGCGGTGGTATCAACCTTCTATTCTAGATCATTTCAGTTCCAATCATTTTTTTTCCTCCAAAAGCAGAACAGTTACAAAGCCACGGCTTGCCATGCCCTCACCAGAGTTCCTGATTTCGTATTCATTGTGTACGAGCTGTTGGTGCTCTGGCCGTCAAGTTCTGGACCCCCTAACAAACGGATGCCATTCTTAAACCACGTGTATTCAGGGGCTGGATTCGCCTCTTTGTCTTGACATCGCAGCTCCACCACGGTTCCGCTCAGAGCAGAGTTGGGTATTTCACAGGATGGAACTCCTGGAGCCACTGAGGGACAGAAGTCAGATGGTACTGGTTATCTATAAGCTAAACAAGGACTGTAACAGCCAGGTGGAGATGTATCAGATGCCTGTGATAGAGACCGGCTACTTGTTCAAAAGGCCTATTGATTGCCTTTCTTCATGGACACATACGTAGCCAGACCACATTTGCCAGCTTACTTGCTGCCAGAGGGGGTCATAGGCATGAGTTCTGTGCCATTTCTGGGCCTGATCCACACAAGCCTCCTGCGTGATTCTCTACTCACTCACTCCCCCACCCCTCCCGCTACCAGGTAGGTGTCAATACCCATGGTGATCTCAGAAAGCCATGTACTGAAGATATCAGATCTGTATTTGGTTGGGTCTCTAATAGTTTCATTAAGTGGAGATTGTAGAATACAATCTACAATTGGATACTGTAGCTATATAGAATAATATAGCTCCACTCCTATAATCTCTGCCCCAACCATTAAGACCTGACCTACACGAGAAACTTCTAATATGTAAGCACTGAGAGTGCTCTTTTCTTATAACAGCCAGGCTTATATTAGCTAGTATAACAACTGTTCTTTTTTTACACAAATAATCTCTACTTTTCTCCTCCCCAATGGTTTAATGTTTTAGTACCAAGTACATTCAAAAGAAGTCAAACCTGAGTATATTTTTCAGGCCCAGTACTCAAACTAATATCCTATTGTGCCTAGAACTGGCCAAGTTAGAGAATACCTGAGTTAGGATTATTCTGGTCCCAGGGATTTGTAAAGTAAACCAGACTTTACTAGGTAACTTAAATCCAGGAAAAGCCAGAATTCTAAGTGGTAGGCGGACTTCTAACATGGTCCTTCAAGTTCCCCAGCCTGGGTATATACACAGTTTTTTTCATTTATTCCATCCATCAACGGTCTAGGTACCACTCGGAAGGGATTCTGGAGATGCAGTTAAGTTCCAAAATATTCTGTCTTTATGATCGGAGCTGATCTAACCACTCCTTTAAAAGTGGTTTTCTCTGACTGGTCACAAAAGGGAAAATGAAAGATTCAAAGCGCAGGAGCATTTAGACATTCTTTTTTTGGACTGAAGATGCAGCTTCGTGAAACCCGAGGCAGAAAACCCCGCCTTATCGTGCTGGACTTCTGATCTCCAGAACTGTGAGCTAAGAAATGCTGCTAAGGTTTTTATGCAGCTAAGTTTGTGATTGCTTGTTATGTAGCGATAGGAAGTGAACACACCAGCTGATTCTCCTGCAAGGCTTTCTGAATTTCTTCTATATGAGCACATCACTAGTATTTTAGAAAGAGCCTGGACTATGTAGAAAAAGCCGTGATTTTATTCCCTTTGCTTGGTGGTTTACATGAACATCTATGAAGGGGCACGGAGCATGTTCCTTGGCCCATAGTAATTGAGAGAAACTGCCTCACTGCCCTCAGGGCTGGGTGGTGGGGATTAGGGTGGGAACAGTAATGGCACAGATGTGAGTACATCACCTAACACTTCCAGGGTGACAGTATCCTCTTCCAGTCTTGGGCCTTGCTCAGAGGGGGTGCTAACTTCACAGCGGTACTTCCCGGCATCATTTCTTGTAACATTTTTGATCCTGATGTTGAAATCCAGCATCTGAGCTCGATCTTTAAAATCACCTGTTAGAAAAAGCAGAAAATGTTGATAACAACGCAAGTAAATTTCTATGTGTTACCTTCCTCAAATCACTTCATTCTGTCACCAGAGCATTTATTTGCCTAGTGATGAACACAATTTAAACACTGAAAAACTGCATGTGGGTGCTGCTATCCCAGAGTTTTTTTTAGAATGACATGTTGTTGACAAAAGAACACTCAGTTCCATATCCCCATATGTTAAAGAATTCAACCCTCCCTTCTGCCTCATATCCTTGCTAGGATGCTTATAGAAAAGTTTCCTGCCTTCGAAAGACACTGGATAGCCTTGTTTAATTAGCCGGAACAGTAACTTTCAGTGCTGAGTGCAGGCCCATCTGATACTCCACAAAAGAAAAGGTGAGGGCATCTTTAAAATACTCTTTTGGTTAGTTTTTGATAGTAATGTCTATGGAATTAAAATAGCGTTTTGTATAATGTTCAAGTGCCAGAATTGGCAACCATAGAAAATTCCAGTAAAGGCAGCTATGCTATTGGCCTCCTGAAGTCTATAGCCTTATACTGCCAGACAAGAACCATAGGGATATATTACATTCACCGTAAATTTAAAAAATTCCTTTGCTCATATAATTCTTTAAAATTAAAGTAACACATAGCATTTTAAAATAACAGGTTTAATATACTTGTTAAGTTATACTTCCAACTTTAAAAATATTTGCAATGGCCAATTTCAAGCATACACAGAATTAGAGAGTAGAGTAAAATGAACCATTGCCCAGCTAACAGTAATTAGTGCCTGGCCTATCTTACTGCATCTGCCCTCCCACCACGTTTACCCATCACAATCAACACTTTAAACAATAGCTCATCACATTCTCAATAGGAAGAATAGGAAGTAGAAATATAAGACAAATAAAAATTGAAAAAAAAAACCCTGGATGAAAGTAGTTGTATCTACCCTCCTATCATTCTTAACTCCCTAAGAGTCTCAGAGATGGCCTAGCTTTCTGATGGAGATGTGGAAATACGGTCCGGCTACTAGAACTGAACAGTGACCATCCATTCCCAACTTGGCACTATCTTGCCTTCCTTTCCCTTGAGAGTTAAACTACTGGGCCGTAAGAACAAGTTCATTTTCCACCCTCTAGGACTGAGCCGAGAAACGAAGGGTCTAGGGCCTCAGTGGAGTTCACCTACTTCTGTTTTGTGTTCCCTGGTTTGGTGGTTGTGTCCCAGGTCTCAGCCACTCCATGCTGGTTCCATTTCACACTTCCCCAAACACATTTTCTGTATGTCCTGTTCTCATTCAAAACTAAAGGATGCCGGCTGCACTTGGAGTTTGTTCTCTTGCTCTCCCCTGGAATCCGCAGCTTCCTACCTTTAAGAGCCTGTTCGTAGTAGACAAAGGAGACACTGTCCCCCAGCTTCTTCCACTCTAGTCTGGAGGCCATGGTCTTCTTCAGGTACTGACAGGTTAAAACGGCCTCTAGAGACAAGAGCAAAAATACTCATTTGCTTAGTGTCCCTCTCAAATCATATTTTGCTTAATTAGGCAATACATTCTTAACCTCAAGCTATTCCTTTATATTTCTTTCTGTAAAAAAAAAAGATTTTATTTACTTTTTAGAGAGAGGGAAAGGGAGGAAGAAAGATAGAGAAACATTCATCAGTTGTCTCTTGCACTCTCCGAACTGGGGACCTGGCCCACAACCCACGCATGTGCCCTGACTTGGAATTGAACCTGAGACCCTTCAGTTCAGACAGGTGCTCAATCTGCTGAGATACACCAGCCAGGGCTATGCCTTTAGACTTCTATTTGTTCATTTTCTTCCTTCCTTCCTTCCTTCCTTCCTTCCTTCCTTCCTTCCTTCCTTCCTCCCTCCCTCCCTCCCTCCCTCCCTCCCTCCCTCCTTAATTTCCCTCAACATGTACCATGCTGGCTTAACCCAAAGATAAACTGAAAGCATTGTAGCTCACAATGCACTGTAGCCTGGAAAATGAGGCAAATGAAGTCCTGTAATTCCAGTACAATGTGATGAGGGCCAGGACAGAAGTAAACAGAGAGTTCGTCACACCTGGCACCTGAGAGAGGCACCAAGTCCAGCCCAGGCCATGCTGTGGAAACCCAGTCCTCCCCACAGGCTACGTTCTCACTCGGATCCCTTCTGGGACAGCCCTCTCCAGGGATGCGTTGATACAAACCCAATATTGTCTTCTAACAAACTGTTGATTCCTACCTCTTACCTCAATCCAGATAAATTATGTTAAAGTTATTTCCGTGCATTTGACTTTGATATTAAGCAGACTTAACGGCATTTTAAAAAAGAATTCAGGATATTACATGATACCGTACATTATGTAATACTTATGATACTATCATGGGTTTTTCACAAAATAAACACATAGAAAATATGGACAGAAAGCCTGTATAAATATCCACGAAAATACTAACCCAGCAATGATTTCCGTGAGATAGGATTATGCTTTTTCTTTTTGTTATATGTAGTTTCTAATGTTTTTTAGTTCCACACATATAGCTAGAAATACAGAAGTAGAATAAAAGGTAATGACTAATAGAAAGTAGGATAAAGAAAGGCCAGGGGAAAAACTCCAAAGTTGTTTTCAAAGATGCCTAAAGTTTTACAAGCAGGTTTTACATTACAAAGAGACATCATTTTAGAGACGTGTTTACAATTATTCCGCCAAGACAAACGTGCGCTGAGGAACTTGTCTGAGGAAATACAGCTCTTTTCTGTTGATTAAGGAGCATGGGTGGTGCCTTTCCGGAGTCTTGAGTTTCAGATAGGTTTCCTTCCCGTAGACGGAGTTTCCAACAATTAAACACACACCCACACTCATTTTTAGCCCATACTCCTAGGTCTGAGGAATAAATTTATACTCATTTGTTTCACATGTTTAAATGCACACACACACATACCCACACATGGTGAATTCTTCCTAATTTCTATCCTCACTGCTCTATGGGGGAACTTGGTAGAAATTATATTCAAAAACATAACTGATTTTCCTAAAAGCGGCTGACTCCACTCCAGCCTCATTCGTACTGACCACGTAAACTGTGGAGAAATGATCTATCCAACTTACCTAAAATACACAGAGGACTTTATGTGAACCTGGCATTGTCTGGAGCCAGGTCAGTGAGCATCACAGAGATCTCTGTCCTTTTGGATCTTACAGTTTGCAGGGGCTCAGGGGCACAAGAAACAACTTGAGTAAATTATATAGCGTGCAAAGAGGCGGTAAGCGTAATGGATGCAGGTCAGAGTGCAGGGACAAGGGTGCAATTAAAAAAAAAGTAAGGCAGAGTTTGGAAGTGCCAGGGACAAGAGCACAATTTTAAAAAAGTAAAGCAGAGTTCACCCATTAGGTTAACAAAGACTTAAAAGAGGGAATTAAATTCCTTAGAATTCGAACTAGAATTCTTTGGAACTTGAATTTAGAATGCACCATGTGGTTCTCTGGGAGTGCTCCAGGCAAGGGACCAGCCTGTGCCCAGACACTGAACTAACGCCGTGCCCCCCAGAACTGCGAGGAACAGTGAATCTATTAGAATCACGAAGTCAACATCTAAAGACAACAAACCAAGTAAACTTAAAAGCCAATGACCATGGACTCTTCTTTCTTTTCTCAGCCAAATTCAACACTCAAGGCCAGCATAATTCTACATCTAACCCTCAGGGTTATTATGCCACCATAGTGGTTTAAAGGAGTTAGACCACCACCAAACACCAGGTACGTGACATTGTGCAAATTACTTAGGTTTTTTTTAACACTATAGTCACAACTGTATAATGAAAAAATAACAGTACTCATCTCATGAAGTTATTGTAAGGATTAAATGAGACCACACACACACACACACACACACACGGGTGCGTGTGGTACTTTGCATATAGTACCCGCTCCATAAATGGTCACTATTACCTTCATACATGAGGAACTTCTCTTAGTTGTAGCTGTACGCTTGCCTTGGCATGACAGAAATCCACACTTTATACCATCACAAATTTACCTAAAAGTCACTCGGATTTAAACGACAATGTTCCCTCTGAGACAGCAAAGAAAATAATACAGATATTTTTGCAAAATGAGGCATATTGAAACAGAAAAATGCACCAAGTTTTTCCATTCGGATAATTTTAATTTCCATGAAAATGTTTCATTTGGATCAAGAAGAGGTAATTCTTTGTTTTGATAAAGCATTAGCAACAACTATTGCTACACTATGAATTCTAATTTTTCTAGGATTGTGTACTACTGACTTCTGATTTTACTTTCTGTGCAGAAGTTAAAAATGAAAATCTTATATCATGCAAGAAGAGCATTGATACTACCAAAGTAGTTGTGAGAAACTACTTGTAATTACCTCTGTGGAGAAAAGCATGCTATTAAACCCTGATTTGTAGCTCTTAGGGCTGGACACTCCCCACATAAGCCTGTTCGCCTAATTTATAAGCCTGACCGAGCTGCCTTTGTTTCAGCGTTATTCTATGGGAATTGGCACCGCTGCGGGAAGTGCCACAGAACAGCGCTACTGAAAAGAAGGAATTAGCTCATGATCCACTGACATGAGAGAGCTGGAGACAGAACACTGAATGAACTGGATGGAACACACATATACACAAATCCTAAAATATTTTAAGCTGCAAGTACAATGAAGTTACTGCAAACAATATGCTAAAACTAAAATGTGGAAGAAGATAGAAATTCATTTTTGTTTCACAAAGAGCCAAGCTGGAATGATTGGGACACATATGAAATGCAATCAAAATGTAATTCTTAATTAAAAGGAGCAGAGGTGAAAGAGAAAGGTAGAAAATACTTATCTGAGAGTGACACTGACATTTGATTGCGATAAATCATAGAATGATTTTTCTATAGTAAACACAAGACACACGTTAAAGAGTAATGTAAATGGCACAGGGTTTTAGTTTGGAGCGATGGGAATGTTTTGAACTTGGATGGAGGAAGTGGTTGCACAATTGTGGACGTGCTCAATGCCACTAAATTGTTCGCTTTAACGTGGTGGATTTTATGTTCTGTGAATTTTGCCTCAATAAGTTTTTAAAAAGTAATGTAAAACTACAGAATATAACTTTGGCATTCTATAAGAATTCAGATATCATGACACAGGGCCTAGAGGGCAGGGATGGATGTATATCCATGGTACCCAACTGGACCAAACGGGAAGAACCTCCAGGAGAGTAAAGTGTAGGAGAAGCGAACACTTCCTTTGTCCCGCTGGGACATCCTCACCCGTCTTGGTCTCGTTGTGCTCACTCTTTCGGCCTCTCAGTGTCTTTGGCATCTTGTCCAGCCCTGTTTATCCTTCCTACCTCTTCCCATTAAAACTAAGCCACAATAGGACTGAGTATTTTATTAGCTTAATCATGTAAAATGTTAGGGCTTTCTAAATACTTAAGTGACTTATTAAGTGATGTTATTTTCAAATGACAGGCTGGCTCTCATTATAGCACTTTTTTTTTTTTTTTTTTTTACTGAACAAGTACATATAACACAATGTTCCAGGTAGCACTGTAAGCACTAGTTAAATACCAATGCATTTAATTCCTCCCCACCTCAGTCCTCTTCTATAAATTTGTCTCTTTCCCTGAAATCTCTCTCTCCAACTCCTGGAACCTAAGACATGCCCGAAGAAAAGGATCACACATTCAGGACTTGTTCCTTAAATGTTTACCATTTCTGCCTAAGCAAGCATCCCATTTAAGACAGAGTCGTTCTTCCATTTTCCTAGTGTTATGTGATCCGGGTAAGAGAGCCCCGAGAAAAGTAGTGGGCAGGCAATATTTGAGGGAAACTCACCAAAAGCCTTTATAAATTTTTGGTTATTAGAGCCTTTAAAAATGTTTTAAATTGTGGTAAAATACACATAATTTGAATTTAATGTCTTCACAGGTTTTAACTGTACCACTTAACATGACGTTAAATATTTTCACATTGTTGGGCAACCAATCACCAGAACCTCCTCATTTTGCAAAACTAAAACTTTATGCCCATTTAACACCAACTCTCCCTAATAAATATTTCGAAGCCACAATAAATGACAAAATGGCACTCCCAAATAGACGATTGTTAATGCTCTCTTAACTACAATAAGTAGCAGGGGGTTGGCAGTGTTAATTTCTAGTTACTATATCGTGCTGGCTGGAAACTTTGCCAGATCTCCATCTCCCAGTTTCACAAATTAGATTTGCTATGCTGCAGATGATTAACGTAATCAGAGACCTTCTTTTTACATCAGGTCTTTCATCGCACGTCTGAGATTCCCCTTGAGGAGGTGCAGAAAGAGTCCTCAAGGTGGAAATGGCATTTGAGGCAGAAGGACGAGTGTGAGGTGAGGCAGAGGGTCCCGACAAACAGCAAGACAGCGTCGCGTGACATGCCCTGGAGTCACTCAGACAGCACGGTCCGTGAAAGTCAGTAAGCCACCCTACCTTGATACTCTATTGCCGTGATTACTTGATGGCCTTTTGGGGTAGAAAATCCATAGGCTCTGTGATCTGGAAAATTAAAACAGATAAAATAATTAAAATAGTGCAAAAGGTAATTTTTAAAAGTTTGGGATGCAATATTAAAGAAAATGGGCCTCAAGTTTGCTGACAGTGTCATATAATTCTTAACACCTAAGGTCTAAAGTACCAAAAATAGGAAGAACCCAGCCAGCCCATTATAGTCTCTGCGTCTCTTCCAGTTCTGACTTGTGGCTGTCCCCTGGAAGCGGCACCCACCCATCTACTGGGCCACAGATGACACACTCTCGCAAGCCACTGTTAAACAAGTGTATGTCTTTCAGCTAACATGTGATCTAGGGCCAAAGGGTATTGTCCCCCAAATAAAAACTAATAATTTTTAGCATCTCATTCAAAAGTAAAAATTGTTTGTGAACTTATTTCTGACCAAACCTGCATCATAAGGAACTGAGTCATTATGGAGATGATGGTGATCTAACACACAGTGATTACGATGATGCTTATGTCTTCACTCCCACGATCTTACATGCAATTTTCATTTTAAAAAGTGCTTATATATATATGCCATAAAATTCAATATTCAAAGTAACCTGGTGTGCTAGGTACCACCTTCTTTTAAATTTTTGATAGTTTATTTTTCAATTACAGTTGATATACAATATTCTATTAGTTTTAGGTATACAACATAGTTACTAGACATTCATCTGTCTTATGATTAGACATACTAAGACTTGATCAACCAAGTAGCAGAACCAGGTATTAAACACTTGTAATTCAATCTCTGAGATGTATCACTTTGTGTTATGGATGTCATTCTACTGTGCAGGGTAATGAGCATGTTTAAAAATAATTTAAATCACTCCCTATGAGTATATGTCTCTGAAATACAAATGTTACTAGGGAAAGATTTTTACCTGTTGTATTCTCCAATATAGACTGGACTCTAGAACAGTGCCTGGCATAAGCAGGCACAATAAATATTTGCTGAGTGAATAAATAACACCACTCAGGATTGCACACTAATGAGAGGAATCCAGTGAATGAGGTCAGATCACACCAATACTAATGAAGGGTGCCTAAAAGCAAACAAGTCTTTGGGGGAAGGTGTTGTAAGTATACAATACTGAACTGAATTAATTACTTCAAAATCAGAATACAAAGCATTCTTGCTGGTTATCTTAAGTAAACAATTTAGATAAAACAATCCAACTGCTGTCCCCTTCATTATTTATCCCTAAAATCATTTATGAAATAAGCTAAGACCAAATTATACTGATCACAGAAATCTTTAAAAGGCTATTTCTTGCTTTGGCCAGTGTGGTTTAGTTGGTTAGGCATTGTCCCAAAAGGCAAATGTTGTGGTTCAATTCCCGGCCAGGGCACCTGCCTGGGTTTCGGGTTCGGTCCCCACAGTGTGTCTACAAGAGGCAACCAATCGATGATTCTCTCTCACATCGATGTTTCTCTTCCTCTCTTTCTCCCTCCCTTCCCCTCTCTCTAAAAGTAAATAAATAAAATAAAACTAAAGGTTATTTCTTGAATATATTTCTATAATATACTCTGTTCATGTTATCATCTGTCTTCTGTCTTCATAAGATATGCAGACCCTGTTTTCACCAAGGGAAAAATGACCTCTCTGCCGCCACATTCAAAGGACAGTTTGTAGTGTTTTATGTTACTTGATCTGTGACATCTGCCTCTGCTGACTTCCTTGGACTGTGTGATATGACTCCCTCCTAGTCTTATTACTGTCAATCCCTTGTGGGTTCTTTCCCCTTGGTCTTTCCATCCATCCATCCATCCATCCATCCATCCATCCATCCATCCATCCATCAAATGCTTTTCTAACTCACTTTCTATATAATCTCTTATACTCATTGAGTCAGCCACCATTTCTTTGCTCAGAAGTCCTAAATCTGTATCTCCAGCTCTAATTTTTTGAAATTAAACCTGTGAACTCTTTCTACAGGATATCTGTATTTCCATTTCCAACAAAAATTACAAACTCATAGGCAAAAATAAACTTATATGTTTACCCCCAAACTTTGTTTTCTTTCTATAAATCCCATCATGGTGAAAGGCACCACAATCCACATGGTCCCTCATGCCAGAAACTCAGGTGTCGCCCATGATGTAACATCATCCCATTTATTCACTCATCAGTTTCCATCTATAGACTGAGGACTGAATGTCATCCGGGACGATGTTTTAGAATATTTGCCCTTCCCCACCTTCCACATCACTGGGAAGGCAGCCCAGTGCTCTTTGCCTTAGGAGGGCATACAGGTAGCTAAATCCAGAGAGAGAAAAACAGGGTACTTGTTCCCTTCCACATTTAGAAATCTTGGTCATAAGGGAAATGGAAACCACTCACAGCATGCACAAATGTTTTAAAAAATCATACCTTCTCCCAAGCCTTACGGAAGAGAAGGAAGTGAGTTGGGGAACCTGGATCTTAATGGGCTCTTGAGAAAGAACAATAGATAACACTTGACTTAGATGTTAGGCAACATTCATGGCGCTGTACAAATGCTAACATTTAACTCTCACAATAATTCTCTGTAGGAGGGTACCATTTTTACTTATACTTTTTCTTAGGTGGGGAAACAGAGGCACAGACAGAGTAAGAAACTTGGCTATGGTTATATAAGTAGTAAATGGTTTAAGTTGGGGTTTCCAAATCCCACATCACTGGGGTCCCCATCATGTTCCCCAAAGCTGAACTTGGAGGAAGGATTTCACATTAACGAAGATGTCAGGCAGAAAGTTCCACAGGTCTAATGAAGATGGGGTATGTTGAGAAATTGGTGGTTACATTGAAGGCAAAGGACTGCCTCTGAAGCACAGCAGGAAGGTGGAAGCTATGATGCCGTGACTGGGGAAGCAGGACAATACAGCAATCTCAGAGGGGAGGTGCTAGAGCAGGGCTGGTCAGTCTTGGCACTGTTGACAGCTGGGGCTGCATCATTCTTTGTTGTGTGTCCTGTGCACTGATGTTTCCCACTATTCCTGGCTTCTTCCCACTAGATGCCAGTAACATCCACGCCCCCCACACCAACCCAGCTCCTATCAACCAAAAATGTTTCTAGACATTGCCAAATGTCCCCTGAAGATAGAGAGACATACCTGCCTGAAAACCACTGCTCTAGGTTTACAACTAGTCTGGTTTTGTGATAGGCAGTTAGGCAGACACAAGCAGAATAAGAACAACAGCCCAGGTACCAAAGGTCACGAGGGCGGAAGACTGGCAAAGAGTAGCAGCAGGCAAAACGGGGAAAACAAGGACCTCACCTCCGGTGTGACCTTTCCTCCCCTAGCATATTTTTGGTCACGCAGTTGTAACCCTGCCCTGACATTTCCTCCCGTGGTATGTTGCTAGCCATATGGTAGACCCCTTGGAGGCCAGATGCCTCATTTGACTCCCATGCCCTTGCACAACCTCTCCCTTAAGCATTAACCCCTACAAATAACGCCTAGGCCTCAGCTGCATTTCAGCTCCAGGCCCAGAAAAGCAGCAAAACCAGACAAATGATGCCATGGTTAACATCAGGACCAGCTGCATTGACTACTGAAACCCTGTCCCGGCACTGACTGACCTATCAGTGGAGCCCTTGACCTTGAGGAGACACCTGAAAAGCTGATGAATATTCTATTGGGATCCTCCCTTGAACCTCCAGATAAATACTCTCAAGACCGAGAACCCAGTGGGCCTTCCCTCCTGAGAGCCCACGCCTTCCCCCCCACTTCTTGTTCCCAACAGGGTGTTACATTTACCTTTTGGCAAAGGGCCCAAAAGGGCCCCTTTTTTGCCTCTATAACTTGTTTCTTGAATGCCTTTCTTTTCTTGTTCACTTCTATCTCTGTGACTTTCTAAATAAACTTTCTGTTATAGTGTGAGTCTTGGCTCTGAATTTGGGTACTGAGGTTGCTGAACCAAGGTCCGGTCTGACTCTACTGGTCTGATGCTTGGTGTTGTTTTGGTCGCCACCAACAGTTTGAAGAACCAGACACAGACATGGTGACCTTTCAGTTCACAGGCCGGCACTCAATCCACTGAGCCACACCAGCCAGGGCTCCTACCAGAACTTTTTAATCATGAAATAATCTATTAGACTTTGGGAAAGGAGAGAAATATGTTTCATATAACATAGCATCCTTTCATTGATTTATTTATCCATATGTCCATTAACAGGTAAATTAGTCTTTTATTGTGCTAGACTTTATCACTTCTAAAGAATACACATTATTCTGAATATTTTCTTTTTTTTCTCTCCCTTAGCAGCCTGGGAACCAAATCTATGAAAAAAAAAACCCTAAAAAATCTATAGGCCTCAAAATTCTCTCGTCAAACATCAGTCAACTATTCAGGTTCTATATTTTTTAAATTTGTAAACATCTCCATCAGGGAAACTGGCAAACTTGGTGTCCATGCAAAGAACGTACGACTGAACTGACCCTTTATTTTGACAACTGTAAATATATTTGTACAACAAGTGAGCCACATGGCTCAGTCTTAGAGGGGTGTCAGGGCTATCAAAGAATAATTCAAAATATCTGTTTTGCTTATGATTTTCCAAACCACGAAGCGGAGGTCTAAGCGATCTTTTTAAATATCCTTTTCTCCCTTTCCATACGCTTCTGTCACATACCAGAATATGCCCTGTGTTCCTCTGAACTCCACCCCCACCCCTTTGTGCCTTTCTATTCCAGCTGCTTCTCTCCTTCCCCAGTTTTGTTTTGCAGCGTCCATAGGGAGGGTCCCGATCTCCAGAGAGCAGAGCAAGGGAAGAGACTACGCTGGCCGAATCTGATTCCTCGTAAGTGAGCTGGAGAAAAGGCAGGGCCTGCTATGTGCTTGTTGCATTAAATGATCCGATTGTTTTTGCCAGTGATTCTGATTCCAAACCATTATTCTGTGAAACTTTCAAAGCACACTTTGAAAAAGTCTCTTTTCTCCATTAGCAACACGTAAATTCGTGCCCTCAAAGAAATTCCGATTAGGACTGGTGTTTCTTGTCATTTTGAAACTA